GTTCACCGCAGTTCTTCCAGCAGTCCACACTTTCTCTGCTCTCTTTTTCTCATCGTCTTCTCCTTCTTTCCCATCGCCCGGCTTGTCACAGGTTTGCCTGCTGTGTCTAAAAGTAGCAGCAGCAGCAACCCAGACTGACAGCAGCTCATTGGCTAATTTGGATCACGTGCAGCCTGGTGCCAGATGCTCCGGAGGGCTTTACCGTATTAACAGGAGAAGAGGCGCAAGTGAAGTTGCAGTAATTTATAAATGTTTTAAATTAGGTTGGGTCTGGATTAGGGAGCAGGTGGGTCCGCTAATCCGTGACCTCTGCTCTAGGTCTTTACTGGAGCTCGATGAGAGTGAATACTTTTGGAAAGCTCGATATTTTGTGTTAGCTTGTATATCCTGGCTTAATTATGTAACTTAGCACCCATATGTATGTGTTTCACGTTACCATGACAACAGCACAACATATCTGGGAACCACAGATCCGCAGTGAGGCTGCGGACGCAGCCACAGTTGTGCCAAAAAGCTAATCCAAGCCAGAGGTGACATGAGCAATGGAGGAGTGAAGCAGGCGGAGACGACACTGAGCACACATGTAAAGAAGAAAAAAAACAAAACATCCCTCCGTCTCCCCTTCTCTCCTCTCGCTCCTCGCCTTCCTCTTAAACCACAAGCTCACACGGTGGATATCCTCCCATTCTTCTTGGCTGGAGCCTCCCATGGCAGTGGCAGCAGGAATCCATTCTCCACGGATGCTGGGACAGCTGTGCTGATATTGAATGGGACACAGCGAGCTCTGCTTTTCCCCGTCTCTCTGCAAGCAGCTCCAGATAAAAACTACATGCTACTTAATCCAAATCTACAACGTCTGCTGCCAACATGCACCCAGCTCATCCCATCTTTGTCTGCCACCAAGGAGAACTCCCCATGTCTTTGCAAAATATAATAAAATACAAAAAAAAGCTGTAAATTTCCTACTGCTGACACATGGTGGCCTGCAGTCACCAGCTGACAATAAACATGGAGAATTTATGACTGACAAAGACACTAATTACAAAAACCGTCATAAGTCTTTCACTCACATGCTTAATGCAGAGGATTCACAACATGCTACCAATTTAGAAGCGACAAAAAACGAAAGAAATTCTCATTTTCGAGGCAGTGGAGCTTTCATTCTGCAGAGTTAAGACTTTAGTTGGTTTGAAAGCCTTTATCTGAATACCTGAGGTGTTTTTTCAGATTGATTTGAGGCATTCTGACCTCTCAGCGCCATCAGAGGGTAAAAAGATACCCCATACCTAGTGTTGCTCCGATGCCATTTTTTGGCCCCGATACCTGGCTGTAGAGTATTGGCGTATACCGATACCATCTCTTTGAAATAGATGTGTGTATATATGAAGAACTTTATACTACTTGGATGTAAAATAATTACCATCATGGCTTTGTCAAGCTGCTGCCTACCTTTGTGAAGCAGGAAAAAAACTAATACAAAGTGGATCCAGTAGAACTTTTTAATGTCTACGTGGAATGGGTGGCAATAGTTGAATAAACTTTTCGCTCTCAAAATGGTACCGGTGCCCTATTTGTTGGTACTCGCCGATTGCATTGTGCAACATGTTTTGTTTATGCTAACAGCAACATGACCAACATGTCAGGCTAACCCCGAAATCCCTCATACTCCGTCAGCGCCCCGTCACCGCTCCAGACCGCCTGCACAAAGCAAAGCCTACAGCCTCCACTGTGGCTCCCGTCCGCTCCGCTCTGAGTTCCTTGGAGATCGTAGAGGGCATGGGCGAGATGATTAAATTCAAAGCAGCAAAACATGCGGAAATGATCCAGGGTTTCCGCAAATCATTAAAAATAATTACAATACATTTTTGGATTTTTTCATTAATTTCATTCATTTTTATGGGATTTCGGGGTACACTGGAAAAAGGACCCAAAAAAAAGTAGAAATGTCTTAAATTAAGTGTATTTACCCTTAATTTGAGTAGGTAAATGAGATAGTTTGCCAATGGAATTAGTATTTTTGCTCTTAAAATAAGAAAATTAGATAAAATGCACCTGAAATAAGACAATGCAATTGTGTTTTCTTATTGTAAGTGTAAATTGTCTTGTTCCATTGGTAAAATCTCTCTTTTACCTACTAAATCCAAGAACAAATACAGTTATTTTAAGAAAAAACAACTTATCTAGATTTCGATTTTTTTCGAGTGTAACAATCAACATATACCGAACCGAACACCGTGACCACGAAACCGTGAACCGAACCGAACCGAACCGTGGATTTTGTGAACCGTTCCACCCCAACTATACTGGTATCTGCATCCTACCCACACTACCCATAACCTGCATTCACATGCATTTGCTCCGCTTAGCTAAAAGGAAACATAATCATCAGAGCTGCATGAAAATGTCCGGTGAGTTCATTCTCTCAGAAAGGTCCGGAACCGGCCGCCGCATCGGTTTCCACGCTCAAATATTCCCAAGACTTAATGTGGTTTAGCTGTTTGGCATCCTAGGCTACGAATGCATCCGTCCTGTCGTGGCTGTAATCCCAGTGAAGCAGAACCTGCGGTGATTTCCATCATTTAATAAACCTTCAGTATCTAGGGGAGAATTTGCTAAAAGCTCAAAATCGTTTCGGAGCTTTGGGTGAAAAAGTGCAAAGCAATAACCGCTCACAGACCCGGCTGACATGTCTGCACATTTATGGCAAAAGAAAATACACATGAGTTTAAAACTAATGTTTCTCTAAGTGAGTCTGAAGTGATGCAGGCATTCGATTTAAACCAGGCTGTATATTTTTACCTTGAAGTTGACCCTGAAACACTCTCAAACCTTTTTCAGCCTTTTAATATATTTTTCTATCCATTTTAATATAAATACTAAATATCCTGCTTTAAATGAAAGAATCTCCTCATCATGATGCCGCCACCACCATGTTGCACACTAAGAGATTGCATGTTTAACACATTTTCATAGAGTTTTCTGCATTTATACTGAGCTTTAAAGGCTCTCAGGTGGCCTCTCTACAGAAAAGACAGGACCTTTATAGGAAACAGGCTTAATATTTTAGGAATTTCTTTTGTCGGAAAAAAGGAGCACGGATTTTAATCTGTGCTCCACATGTGTCAAGGAAGTGGATCCTGTCCATTTCCCCATTGTGGGACAATAAAGCGATTTTCTATTCTATTTATTCAACAAATTGACACAACTTTCCTTGTTTCTTTTACAGATACAAAGATCAAATATTAAAGCGGATCAGCAACGATATTAGAGAAAATTTAGATTGGGTACTGATCTATAGGAGCAGCAGATCTATTCAGTTTATTTCTACTAGAGATCGACCCATACAGTTTTCTTGTCCAATAATGATTATTTTGACATCAGTCTAACCGATCCCAGATATGCACTGCCGATATTTTTATGACCAATTCTTAGAGCTGATATTGTTTTTTTAATCCCTAATTTACACGATAAAAATGACTCGATAATAAAGGATGCTACTGAAGTTTCAATAGGTAGCAAATGTACGAAGTGGCAAAGCGTGCGCTTCACGTGATCTGTAAACATAGCTTCTGAATGCACTAATGAATCGGTGAAGGTCGAGAAAACTCAAATATCATTCAGCTGGTGCATCGCTCCATCTCTAATTTCTCTAATAAATCGGAGATAAAAATCTCTTCAACAGCCGTCTCTGCTTTAATAACCAGAGTCTGTTTGAACCCCTACACTTGTTTTTAGGATGAAATTTACCCTGTTACTAATTATTGGTTCTGTGACTCTTTTCCAACATGTTTACATTCATATGTGTTATTCTTGATCGCAGAGTTCAGGACAGCCCCTCAAAAAATGAACAGTTATAATGATTACATTAAGAGAAAAGAGCTTTTGTGTTCGACAAATATCAGGTTCTGCTGGCATCAGATTGAAGATGAAAAACAGTGGATCGGTGCATCCATTGATCAATCGATTAATCTGCCAATTTTTAGCATTTTTTTCCTTGTTTCGGTATCAAATTATAGGCGCATTCGGCAGCCATGTTGCTCCTTCTATTTGCTATCCATTGTTAAACATTTTTTGTCATTGTTTCATATTTATCATGTAAATGGAGTAAAAAGAACAATATTAGCATCAAGAACTGATCCAAACATATCGGCAGCACGTGTCAGGGATCAGTTCGACTAATGTGAAAATAATCGGTAACAGAATCGGCCTTTACGAAAATCTGTATCGGTCAATCTATAATTCGTAGCTTAATATTTATTATTATCATTTATACAGAATTAAAAGAATAATTATAAAACCACACAGCAACAGAAAGAGATGGATACAGACAGAATGAAGGTGGAGGAGAGGATGGCAATGGCATTAAGTGCATTAGGTACATTAACTAAATCAGATTTTAGCAGAAAACACTGCTTTTACGTTTTTACTCAAAGCGCTGCAGCCTAATAAAAGTAAAAAAAAAAAGTGTAAGGCGTGTAAATCTAAAGCATTTTCTCCAGGAAAACGTACAGAATAAAACCAGCGACGGTCCCCGATGAGAGGAGAAGCCAAAAAGTCACTGAGGGGAAAGTTGAAGTGAGGAGAAAGCGGGGCCTCGCATTTTTCCGACTAAAAAGATCAGCCTAGAAAAAAGCCTTACCAATAAAAGACAGAGGAGGGAAAATGAGCTGTAAATCACAGTTTAATATGCTTTAAATCTTACAAGGCATGCATTCAGAAGCAATATTTGCATTGTTTTAATGCTTCCACTTTTTAGCGGCTCTTTTTTTTTATTTCTGTGGGAGCCGTGAAACGCACTACATTCTCTGCAAATAGATCAATAAAAAAGTAGATTTGTGCAAAAAAAAAAAAAAAAAACATAATCAGATTTCCAGCCGGAAATCTGCAAGAAAACATTATCCCAAGAGGTGACGTACGTACAAAAATACGGATATTTAAGAAAATAAATGAAAAACACAAAACACCTGATGTGGAATAAATATTGACTCAACAGGACTTACCACTAAGGCATTGTTTAGAAGGTGAGTGGGGTAATACTTTAGTGTTGAGAGGGTGTTAAGAGGCGAGGAGAGCAGGGGTCAGCGTCCAGGCAGGCAGAGAGGTGGGGGGGTGGGGGCAGAGGGAAGGAATAAGTTAAAATGTCGCAGCAGTGAAAACAGACTCAGATGACAACATCAGCGTAGAGCACATGAAGGAATGCGGCGACACAAAAACACAGCGACGGGTATGAAGGGTTCAGGGCGTCGACAGGAAGAAAAAAAAATATGGATCATTTATGCAAAAACAAAACAGCAAAATGGCTCCAATGAGATGGAAATAAATCCTAAAACGTTAAGGCTGTCTGCTTAAACTCTGCAGCACGCTTTAAAGAAACGCTCTGCTGTGGTTATTTATTTAGAAAATCAATAACTGCTGCTGACTTGGCTGGATGGCTGAGGGAAATAAACTTTTCTCATTTGTTTTCTTTTTAACTTTGCTTTAAACAAAAAGAAACTGTGTAAAAAAAAAAACATAATTCCCTTTTTAAAGAAGACTATTTAAAATTAAAATGATCAGAAATTGAGGTTTTTCTCAAAATAGACACATAGGTTGCAGAAGATAAAAACCATCATATTCATAAGGGCTTATTTACAATAAAAGATTTTCAGTTGACTTTTATTTCACAACTTTGCTCAGTTTTCTTTCACCTTAAAAAAAATCAAGCAAATCAGAAAAGACCACTAAAGAAACTGATGTCTCTCTGCTATTTCATCCCACATAAACCTTCGTTTTGAAACCCTGATCTTTAAAATAACTGAACCTTAAAGCCAGTTAAAGTGTTTCTAAGAGAGTAAAACTATTCAAACATCATTTAATAATAAAAATTATCATTTTTAGTCTTCGTATGTTGCAGGAATGACATTTATTCCTGCCAGAGTCGCTTCTGTCTCCTTCCAATGTGTGTTTCTATGCGATTTGCCAGTAATGCAGCTACTTTCATGTCATATGTCGACTCTAAAATCTTTTCCGAACTGGCGAGGCGTTTTTTAAACCCACTATTTGATTTACTAATGATTTATAAAATAGACAATAAGTTGTGTTTTGTCTGCAGGAAGCTGCATAGCATTTCTTTATGACATTTTATTTTGTAAGAGTATACAATACAGTGGTAGTTACAATTTTACTACTGCCACTCATAATATACAAAGTTAACCCTTTAAAGCCCGATCCAAGAATAAAACAAAACAGAAAATTACTTTTTTTTTTTTTTGAATTCCTTATTTGCCCTTTTAACAAAATATGCAAAAAGAAAAAACAGAAATACATTTTTGATATTAATAATTTATTACTATGGGATAAGTCAAGATTATTTTTTGTGTAGTCTTCTACTGGCTGTTATCAGGTATATCTGATTGTGTACAATACGATTATAAGCAAAGTTTTTACCATTAAATTATGCAAAAGGTGTCATTTCAGAAACCGTATGTATCAAATATGATACATTTGGCATGACAGGGTTAAGTAAATTACATCTAACAACTTTGAACAAACAGGGAAAGATAGGTCTACATGAAAAAGCAAAAATAAACTCTATACCAGGCAGTTTTAAAATAAAGTATGAGAGATACATTAATATATTAATCCTTAGACGCTACAGAACATAAATTAAAAAACAGGCATTGCATGTTATTCATTCCATACTTCTGTCTGTTCAAGAGCAGCGAATTTAACCCACTTGGCCCACCTCTTAGTGAATATTGAAGCCGGAGGGAGAAGGTGATCCTTTCCATGAGGTAAATATCATTTACAATACTTCACTCCTGTACTATGGGGGGTCGGGGACAGATCCACATCTTATGAGTGCTTTTTTTACCAGCAGTTATCAGAATATCAAATAAATATTCATCAGCTTTTCTTACCTGAAAATCAAAATTTCCTAAAAATAATGATCGGGAGATTAATTTTAAACACAGCGTTTAGTACCTCAAAAAGAGTGTAACCACTGGGCATTCCCAAGATATCCCAATGATCGTCTTTTTCCTGATTAAGAGGTGACCTATAATATGAAAAATCCAACTTTAAACCACCTTTTCTTACCCATTTGGTGCTAAATTGGTCCTTATATGAGCCTGCTGCCAATTAATTTTAATCAAGGGATATTTATGGTGCTTAAAAAGGCTTTTTGTTTGGCGTTTCAGGTTTTAAATCACACCATGTCGTCTTGTTTAAAAGGCCGTCTTAAACAAAAGCCATATTTTCAAGTAAACAACGTCAGAGCAAAAATCATCATAAAACAATGTGAAGGGTCCTTGGAAGCTTCTGTTTTCCTGCTATCTGAGCGTCGCCCCCTTAAAGTCAGCACATTATGCAGCCTTTTAACAGCTTCTTTTATAAAGAGAAGGAATTAAAGTGGAAACAAACGGAGAAGAGGACGAACATTACGATCGCAGCGCTGCAAATGTTCCTGAAATGAAAACCAGACGGGAAGAGGAGCCGAGGAGCAGCATCCTCTCAGCCGAGTCATGGCAGCCACGGTGACGGGAGGAAAACTCCTTTTTTTTTTTTTTTTTTTTGTAAATGGGGCCAACGTAAAAGGCAGGGATGAATTACGGCATCACACGGAGGGCCCTGGCAGTCCGCTGTCAGGCGGGGCCAACTGGGGATAAACAAGTCTGCTTTATTGGAAGAAGACCTGCAGCAGCTGCAGAACACGAGAAGGCCACAGCAACGACAAGCGTATCTTTCACATGTTAAAGGCGAAGGTTTTCAATCTACACGGACAAAACAAAGAGACAGAAACAATAAAATAATCTCCATACGCTTTGTTTGGATAGATTTAATCCTTTTCTCATGAGCAACATCCTGTGAAAAATAAGTCATTTTCTCACTTATTTAAAATAAGTTGTGATTAAAGTATTAAACAGTCTTTAATTTGGACATTAAACCGTTTCCCTGACAACCTGAGCTAAGATTTACCCTTAATTAGCAACAATCGCCTCGAGGTTAAAGGTCAGGATGTTAGCAAATTTCACTTAAACATGAACGCTGCTGTTACGCTAATTAAAGATGGACATAAAATGAAAAGCTGATCCAACTCTGGAACATTCCTCACCTTCGTGTCTCCGCTTTTACTGCAGTTTATATTTATATTCAACATACATCCCTCATATAACTCACCAGACTAAACCAGATTAAAGCTGCTCACTGTGACAATCGCTAAAAGGTTCATTAACTCACTTCTTCGGTTACATTTCAGTGAAAATGTTAGACCCGATAGGCACCAAACCACAAGAAAAAAAACGGGTAATAAGTGATATCCTCCAAAGTTGTAGTGTTTGAAAAAAATCCGGGGGGAAAATGAGATTTTTACACGAGATTAAGACACAAAATAGCTCTTCAGTACCTCTGTCTCCGACTAATTAAAAAAAATGAAACTTCAAGGATAAATCCGACACTTTGATTCAAGTATAAAAGCAGATACAAAAGAAAGGAGATGAAAGTATTTTAAAAAGAAAGAAAAGATACGGAAAAATCCTTAATCCTTAACTTGACGTTTGGTTCTAATCCAAACAATATTACTTAGTAGGGCTGCATGATATGGCCCAAAATCTATCAATTTATTTTTTTTTTCTATTCCAAGCTTTAGAATATAAAACTGACACATATATTACTTTAAAAAAACAGCTTTTATTTGACCTTGATTTAAAGGTCAACAAAATCCAAGCTTGTAAAACAACGCTGTTTCCCAACAAACAATGAAAATAAAACACTAAATGTCATCACACAGCTAGTTTATCAGTTAGATGAACTGATGTCACTCTGAGCTATGGAAAAAAAAGTGCACTGACTTAAAAAAAAATAAAACAAATCTAAATTTCCCCCCCAAAATGTGTTGATTAATGGGTTATATGGATTAATTGACCCAGCATAATTACTGAGGAATAAACAGAGAATTGTTTGAAACATGGAGGAAATTAAAGGAAACATTAGATAAAGATGCTGAAATATTAGTCACATTTATTTAGCATTAAAAAAACAATTTAAACTTGTGTAATAAAATAGAAAAAAAAAAAAAAAAATATATATATATATATATATATATATATATATATATATATATATATATATATATATATATATATATATATATATATATATATATATATATATATATATATAAAACAGCTGGCTTTCAGTCAGTGCGTGATATGACGTCAGCATACAGTATTATAGTTATGGTCTATCTGCGAGCGTGCATGTGTTGCATTCAAGTGCAACAAAAACTGCACTGAGAAAAAAAAAGCTGCCGTTGCCGCTGCCTTGAAAGCTGCCGTTTATGACACAAACACACAATATTAAGAATTTACATTTATTTTACTGTACTCATGCAAACCCTCACATTTACCCTGCATATTCCTAACCCTGAGCTCATGCTGCTGTTTTCACCCCATACCTCTAAAATGACCCCCCAGAATGAAAAATGGGGGGCCACCACATAGGGGCCCGCATTTGGTCCCCATAAGGCCTGTTGGTCCTCAGAAGGTAAATATATCCAAAATGGTGGTGCAACATAAACAAACACACACACTAGTTTCAAGAAGAAAGTGGCCCGGTGCGTTGCGGTGCGTTGCGGTGCGGTGGGCCGGACCGTGCGGTGTGCGCCCCGCGCTCACACTCCTCTCACCGGCCAAAAAAAATTAAAGAACCGCTTCCAAGCCTGGACCTTTTTTTTTTATCCAAACAGATATTTTCTCCTCGTTTCCTTCCTCATCCCTTCTATTATTAAAAGCGTTTAGATTTATTTGTTTTAAAATAGAAATGACCATATGGAAGAAGCGCCATTTTTTCTGCGGTGCGCAAAGAAAGTTTCCTGCGTAAAGAAACGGCGAAGAGAACCGAGGCGAAGTTTGAGAGTGAGTCAGACAACAGAAACAAGCTGTGACAAAAACCAGCAGACTGGTGGAAAATAAAGGCAGAGGCAGCGCAGATAAACACAGAGAGGAGTTCAGTCTCCAAACAGTGAAATAAGAGAAGCCGGGTTACCTGTGTCAAGCAG